AAATAAATTTTTAAAGTTTTATTTTCAATTATAGGAACATACTCAATTATGTTCTCCCCCAAAACAAAAAGGCATTCATGAATTATGGGCTCGAACGTTGGCCCTGACACAAAAGAGAAGAAGGAAAGCTCGCCCATAAGTTTCACTACTCAGAAGACTTACTTCGTTCTGTCAACCCATACCCAATAGGTCTAAGAAGTTAAAGCCCAACGATATACTTAGCAGCAGCCCAACTTCAACTTTTTATCATCATTATTATTATTATTATTATTATTATTATTATTATTATTATTATTATTATTATTTCCATTTTTGAATTTTCGGAAAGAAGAACAAGTTCTTTCATCTTTGCAGAAAATTTTTTTAGGGTTAAAAGGAAAAATTCATTCAGAATCAAGATGAATTTAAGGCATCTTTTTCCATTTAGTTATCCAAATACTAACTCTTATGCTTGTACTTCCGAAAATAATTTTCTTAAGCATTCAGATCTTTAAAAATAAATAAAAATAAAATAAAGCATTCAGTTTGAGTCAAAGAAAGTACTAGTTACCATGCCGTATCCGTAGAATGCTTTTATCCTAAATCTGCTCTAATTTCCTTGTTTCAAAACAATATAGATATATAAGAAGATAATCTTATTCGTCAATGTAAAGGAACTAAGGCCAAATGGTGACAATTTATGGAATGTTTTTACTTTTTACTACTTCCGTCCCCAAAAAATAGTGCACTTTGAATTTTGAGTTTTGAGTTTTGTACCTTTTTAATACAAATTTAGAAACTCGTTGCAGAAGTAATTAACTTTTTAGGTTATTTACTCCATAGTTTCCACGCTCCAATTACAAGTATAATGGTCCATAATATACCTTAGGTACATTGTGCATGAGATAATAGAAGAGTATGAGGTGAATCACTATCAAAATAATTGGGAAATTCAAACTTAAGACATATAACCCAAATAAATGTGTCGCGATCATTAAAACAAGTGTTAATGATCACGCGGACACTTGTTTAGAACAAATAAGAGCAGCAAAAATATGAAATTACCCTCATCTTTCATGTCGAGATAGATTTTTCTTTTAGTACAATAGAAATTTTAATTTTATTAATTTGATAGTTTTGAATACGCGAGGAAAGACGTGAGTTAAATTAATTTTCGAATATCATCTATATATAATTTAAATACGTAAGAATGTTCACGTAAACGTAAATTGTAATATTAATTTTTATTTTCGAGTATTTAAGAACACAATGGTTGAATACTGATTTAGAAAATCTTTTCCAGCAGGTCACCCAGTTCTAGTAGTCAAATAAAGAGTAAAAAGTGAACAATTATTTGTACTTCTGTTTTTTTTATTAAATGAAAAGAAATCTATAGTATATTATACTAAGAGAGAAACCAGAGAGGGAAAATCAAACTTCTTCTCACGTTAATACATAGGACAAAATTCTATATGTCATTTTCCTATAGATTAACATAAAAAATATTTACAACAATTACACTAATAGTACTTTAAATTTTCAGTTAAAAAATTGCTATCAATTCGCAATTAAGTATATCAATTAATTGTGTGGTAAACTTTCTATTTTATATTTGGTGAAATGAAAAAGAAAACGGAAACTTTTTTAAAAAATCAACATTAATGGTTTTTTTCATCTAGTGTCGTATAAAAAAGGTAAACATTTATTTGATTTAACATTAAATCTGATTGATTTGAAAAGATTCTCCAATTGGCTTAAATAATGCCATTACATATTGATTGGATCATAAACAATATTAATGTTTTTTTAAAATTCAAAAATAATTAATGCAAAATCATCAGCAATTCCTTAATTGTAAATTTTATGTGTCATTTTATAGAACCTCTTCTAAAATAAACTTAATAAAATTAGAAAGAAATCCTCAAATTATAAAGTAATTAAAAAGAGGAAAAACTAAATTCGTAAACCAAATTTCCGCATTAATTTAAAATTTAAAAGTTTATTGTCATCTGTAAATTATTCCTAGCAAATTAAGGAAATGATATTTTTTGAATTCAAAATTAATTAATATGCCATAGTATTTTTTTTTTACTTTTAATTATAAATAGAAATCAATCCCTAGAACTACTGTATTTTTCCAACTACACATTCAAAACTAATAAAGATGATTGTATATAACAACCATAAATAACTTAATTATGATTTCTCTCTATCCGATTCCATGAATTATGTTATTTTATCAAATTTGAATTTGGAATGTTATTACTTATCATACTTAAATTTAAAAAAGAAATCTCATCTAAACCAAACACACTTGAGCGCTCATATCCCATATGCTACCTATATAAGACTCAATCGGTTATTGGTATTCCACTCGAAATCGTGACTGTCTGTGTATTCATATGAAGAAGAATGATATAATTCTTTTTTATATTTATTTATACCTTAACATGCTTGGATTATTTTTCTTTTAATTTAATTATGTTGATATGTGAAAAAATTAGAAAAACAAGCAAGTTGGAGGTGATGATTACAAGGATGAACAAAACTTTATGTTTCCATTAACTCAATACTTGTATTTCATATCGTAATATTTTATCTTTATATAATATGTATTAATATAAACTTCAAATATATTCTACACCTTTTATATTTATTATAATTTTTTAAAAATGCATATAAATAAACCCTACACATCGTGCGGGTTTAACATATAGTAAAATTGATATGATATATAAGTAGTAATCACGCGCGGTCAGCAGCATGTGGTGGGGCTTCCAAAAATCTACCTGAAAAGCCAGCCAGCCAACCAAACAGACAAAAGTCCGCAGTATTATCACGTCAAAGCAGAGTCCAACCGCCTGCAAAACTAGCAGTCTCTGAATTTCCAAAAGTACCCCTTATCAGCCTCCTTGTGAACTTCCCGAAATATGCCTTATCATCCTCCTCCTTCACGTGGCATTTCTGGGAGAATAAGGAAAAAAACTCACTCTGTAGAAGTCAATTGTCAACAACACAGAATAAGGGACCGTTTCGTTTGGTCCACTTTCTTGTCAAGAAACTAGATAAAGAAAAGAGCCGAAAAAGAGGCTGTTTTTATGACAAGTGGTGTGAACTGTGAACTGAACTGGTGGTGATGAAACGAAACCAGCCAAAAAAACCCAACGGTACAAATCGCACGAAAAAAGATTTCATGGGCAAAAGAGTTATTTTGCTTGATTCAAATTTTCACAACATTTTCTCCCGGAAAAAATGTCGTTCCTACCCAAAGCTTTGCCCTCGTCGTCAATCATACTCAATAGATTGTCGGTTAGTTAACTTTACCCTAATATTTGAAATTTTCGCCAATTTCGTCCAATCGGTCCATTTTCCGTCCAAATTAACGGATCACCGTTAGTTTTTTAATAAAATAATAAATTTGATTACAAAAACACCCCAATAATTTTTAAAAAGTTTAAAAATAACCCCTAAAATATATAAAAATAACAAAACAGTTCCTTTTCACTTTTTATTTTACTTTTCTCTATTTTGTTCCATTTCTCTCAACTACTTTTAATGACCATAATAATCTATTATATGAGTTTTAAAAAAATATTTATTTATTTTCAAACTCTACCATAAAAATTAATCTTTGTATAGTTGTAACCCATGATTGTATTTATATAAGCATGTTAATTTTTTTAATAATATAGTTTAGCAATAAAGACACTATTTTTTGATTTATTTTATTCTTCCTAACATAAAGATAAAAAATTTAAATGAAACTAATATTCCACATAAAAATAAAGTATTAGCTCAAATAAAAAAATATTAATATATTTTAGTGTATTATAATTTAACTCAAGAGACTATAACTTGCATTAATATAATTCATAAAAAAGTAAGTAAAATATAAAATAATTAAGACACTATTTTTTTGATTTATTTTATTCTTCCTAAAATAAAGATTAAAAACATTTAAATGAAACTAATATTTGACATAAAAATAAAATATTAGCTCAAATAAAAAAATATTAATATATTTTAGTGTATTACAATTTAACATCAAGAGACTATAACTTGTATTAATATAATTCATAAAAAAATAACTAAAATATAAAATAATTAAAACCTTAAAAAAATCCTCCAAACATAAGTTTTCCTTCTTGAATCTAAAACCTATTTTTTATAACAATAACTTATTACCATATTGTTACCTCCATTCATTTATTTTAAAATAAAATCATATAGAATAAGCTAGTAAGACTTCCTCTATAGTTAGATATATTAACATCCCAAATAATTATTAAAAAAATATTAAATCCTCCCATTGATAAGTATAAAGATATTTTTTATAAATTATATTATGTCATGTAGTCTCTCTAGTTAAATTCTAATACACTAAACTATACTAATATATTATTTTTTATTTGAGCTAATATTTTCTTTTTATGTGGAATAATAGTTTCATTTAAATGTTTTTAATCTTTATATTAAGAAGAATATAAAAAATAAAAAAAATATTGTCTTTATTGCTAAAATATATTATTAAAAAGATTAACATGCTTATATAAATACAATCATGTGTTATAACTATGCAAAGATTAACTTTTACGGTAAAGTTTGAAAATAAATAAATATTTTTTTAAAACTCATATAATATACTTTTATGGTCATTAAAAGTAGTTGAGAGAAATGGAACAAAATAGAGAAAAATGAAATAAAAAAGTAAAAAGGGACTATTTTGTTATTTTTATATATTTTAGGAGTTATTTTTTAAATTTTTACAAACTACTGGGGTGTTTTTGTATTTAAATTTATTATTTTATTAAAAAACTAACGGAGATCCGTTAATTTGGACGGAAAATGGGTCGATTGGACGAAATTGGCGAAAATTTTAAACATTTGGGTAAAGTTGACTAATCGAAAATCTATTAGGTATGATTGACGACGAAGGCAAAGCTTTGGGCAGCAACTACATTTTTTCCTTTTCTCCCCTCTAATTGTAACCATTATTTGTCAAAATGCCATGTAAAATGCGACTTATACCATTATTTGATATACTGTAACAACGATTTCAGGAAAGTACATCCAATAATTCTTTCATTTTTTTTTGCATCTACTCCAATTCTTGATCCTTTTATTTTTTTAAAATTTTTTTCAGCTTCTGTAGCTCATTTTCAGTACTTTGGAACTTGGAAGATGGATGAAGTCAGACTCTGCTGAAGTAAACTCTACTGCTTCTCCAATTGTTGTAAAACACTAGCTTTTCTCATAAATGGCATTTACTGCATTACCACTTACCCATTCTGAACTTATTTTTCACCATATTTTTATCTTCATTAATTTCAAAGTAACCAGCAATTCACTCAAGAACCAAAGACTTTTTCCAGTTTTCCACCTCTTTTTTTTTTTTTTTAAAAAAAAGTTTTTTATGGCTTGTAATCTGCATAAAGGTCTCTCTACTAGTCTACATAGCTTCCGCTTTTCTCGGTTGTTCCACCGTGTAATCTCGTGAATCTCAAACGGGATTGTAGTAATTTATTCGCACCCCATTTTTCTTGCTCCTGATTCCCAAATTTCAATCCCACACAGGTTTCCTGTGTTTCCATCCTAGTGTTTTTATCTTGGAAGTTTTTATATATATATAAAAAAGTTGTCTTTTTTACGTTGTTTGTTTTCAAGGACTTAAAAAAAAACATTTAAGTACATACAAAATTCTATGGCATTTTGAATTCAAAGATTCTCTCTTTAATCACTTTCCAGACTCATAATCTATCAGAGAAAAGAAAAGGAGTTGAGCTTTGAGGTTTGTTCTGTTCCAATTTCAAGTCTATTGAAGTTGAGGGTTGTCTTTGAAGTACTATTTTGTGTGTGGGTTTTGTCTCAAATGTGGTGGAATGATGGTGTATATGCTTCGTTTTAGGTGGAAAAACATCAAAAAAAAAAGGACTAATGAGCGTGGGGCGGTCCAAACTTTTAGCAATGTCGTTCTCTCTGTAAAGGTACCCATAATGCTCTTTTTTGATGCTCTGGTTTTTTTTTGAAAAAAAATTCTTACTAAATGCTTTCTTAAATTAGCCTACAGTTTACTTTTTCAGCTTGACCCATTAAGCTTCTTGCCTTTGTAGTTTGTTTTTGTGTAAAAAAAAATAGAAGTGCTTTTGTATTGCGGAAATCTATGGGAAAATTACTTTATGTTGGTGTTTTTGAGGGCTTGTTTGTTCTCTCACATTGAGTCTTTTGGTATCTGCTGTTCTTTTTTTAATCTTATCAGCATATTGTTGTTGCTTTTCATTCGTTGGAAACAAAATCTTAGGGCAATTGTTTTCATTGAATATGATTGAATGGCTTTTTTGGGTGGAAAACTTGGGAATGGGCTTTTGAAAAACTTCCCTTTTTTGTTGAATTTCAGGTTGAAGTAAAATGGAGCATTCCCTTGTTACTTGGTGAAAGTTAAAATATTTACAGTGTCTGTGAATATTTAGAGATGATGGATGGGCGGCGTCATTCTGTTGATGTTCCTATCTCAAGGACTTTGGTTGCACTTAGGAGAGTGAGATCTCTTAGAGATCCTTCAACTAATTCCCTGAGCAAGTTTTCTCCTTTGCTCGAGAATTTGAATTGGGAGACAAATTCGAACAATGGGATTACTTTGGGGTTTGAAAGGAAGTACAATGACTGTGTTGATATTGGTAATGACCTGTTAGGCTTTAGAGATAAGAAATTGGATAGTATAAGAGGGCAACACGGAAATGATCAAGACCAATATGGCAATGGAAGAAAATCTACTTCCAAATTGAAGTCACATGAACTTTCTTGTTTTAATGAAAATGAGGGTTCTGCCCCAAGTAGGAATGTTCATGTTGAAGAGTCTAATATAGCTCAGCCAAGCCTTGATTTGTTTTGTGGTGGCAAATCGTTGAGTGAGAGATATGGTAGCAGTTACAGGGACAAAGGATTGGAGTTGGCTTGTATGACGCCTTTGGAGGGGGTGGGTTCTTGTAATGAGCAAAATGACGGCTCAACATGTCTGGAAAACATTGATTTTAATGTGGGCAGTAAGCAATGCCAGTACAACAGAAAGCAGACTAGATCAGGTAAGCCAGCAGCAGGAGATTTCCTGAGTCGTGTTGGCAGTCCATGCTTATCAGTGAGTGATGCCCTGCTCAGAGGATCCAGTCATGCGTCCTTGAATGGAAATAATGATACTGATTCTTTAGATTTTAGTCAATGTGGGTGTGGGATAAGCCGTTGCTGGTCAAGATCAACTCCAAGGTTTAGAGAGTCTCAATACCAACTTGATGCCGAAGACCATCCACTTTTACCTGGAGGTGTAGTTGACACGCCTATTTCTGAGCACAGAAGGGGCTGCAAACATGCAAATAATGGGACATGTTTCTGTTCAGAAAGTCCTCGAAGCCTTGGACAAAAGTTCAGGCCAAAGTCATTTAGTGAATTGGTGGGCCAAAATGTGGTAGTCAAGTCTCTTCTAAGTGCAATCTCCAGTAGAAGGATTAGTTCTTTCTATCTCTTCCATGGTCCCCGTGGTACGGGCAAAACATCTGCGGCAAGAATCTTCGCTGCTGCATTAAACTGTGTTTCTCCCGACGTTGCCAAACCTTGTGGTCAATGCCGAGATTGTGTTCTATTCTTTTCTGGAAAGGGAAGGGATATCAAGGAAGTGGATTCCCTAAAAGTTAATGGGACACAAAGGATTAGAGCAATCATAAAGAATGCAGAAAATTCTCCATGTTCTTCGCGATTTAAGGTTGTGATTATTGATGAGTGCCATTTGTTGCAAGAAGATTCATGGGCAACATTTCTGAACAACCTTGAGGAGCTCTCTAGACATGTTGTATTCATAATGATAACTCCTGACCTTCATAAGTTGCCTCGTAGTGCAGTCTCACGGTCTCAGAGATACCAATTTACGAAATTAAAAGAAGCTGATGTTGCTGGTCAATTAGAGAAGATCTGTATGGAAGAAGGATTTGATTTTGATCGAAATGCTTTAGAATTTATTGCTTCCAAATCAAGTGGCTCTCTACGGGATGCTGAGATGATGCTTGAGCAGTCGAGTCTGATCGGGAAAAAGATTACTATGTCCTTAGTATATGAACTGGTAAGTGCTAACCTGAATATTTAAATGATTCTGATCTATGTATGTCAGCTGATCTTCATGTTTTACTGCTCAGATGGGAGTTGTTTCTGATGAGGAATTGCTTGATTTGCTACATCTTGCACTGTCATCTAATACGTCAGATACTGTAAAACGGGCTAGGGAGTTAATGAGATCAAGAATCGATCCCTTGCAACTGATATCACAACTAGCAAATATCATTATGGACATTCTTGCTGGAAAATGTCAAGGAGAAGCTTCTGAAGTCCAAAGAAGGCTTTTTGGAAGAAGTATTTGTAAGTACTAATTAACACTCATACTCTTTCATTCATAAAATGTGTTAGCCTTCTCATTTTGACGCCGCTAAATTGAGTTATTATTCTAGTCCTTAGGGAGGAGACACTATCTATCTGAATATGAGGATCTCATTTTTTTTTTGGAAAGAATATGAGGATCTTGTTGAGTGCAAGAGCATGCCTCTTGGTGTAGCATTATTATTACTATTTTTTTTTTTTTTTGGGTAATCCTAAGTGTCATATTTTGCGAATGAAGTGAAACTGCCTTGTTAAAGTGAAATGTTGCACTAAATTCATATTCCACCTATTGAATATTCTTGTGAGAAAGAGGGGAAAAAAGTGAGAGGAAAGTAGCCTGGATTCTTCTTGTAAGTAGTTGTAAGATGAAAATGATAAAGATTCTGAGAATAAATAAAATTGAACTAGCAGATTAGTGGTAACAATACACAATCTCTGTAAGTACATAATAGTTTGTCTGGAACTTTGGTTGTCATTTTGAAGTGGCAATAAACTAGGAAAATTTCGCCGGAAAGAATTCACACGCCTACTGGCTTATGTACGAAAATTTTTATTCTTTTATTGGGAGCAGTAACCAAGAGGTGTGCCAGATTCTGTTAAATTTGGGCTTATTTACATTGCTTAGCTTTCAAAAAGCTATCCGAGAACTGATATTTAGTTCTCCCTTTATTGTATGTTTCCCTTTTTCTTGATGATATTGGCCAAAGGAGCTTATATCTATTATTGCTGCTGGTGTTCTGAAGTACTCTTGTAAATCTTTGCCAGCTATTTGTCAACAGGATCAACATTTTCAATTTAGCTTTTTTTTTTTTTTTTCCCAAAAAAAAACTCCTATTTAGCTTCTTTACCAGCCTTGTCATTTTTATTTTCGCTATGGGGCAAGTTTCAACTTTTGGAGTGTAGTTTAGTGGCTGGTAAAGAATAGAGTGCACTTTGTTTGATATCTAAATGTGCTTCTTGCCTGGAGCTTGTGTTTGATTTTAATAGTTCACTGAACTATGAGCTTCTCTGAGAATGCTGGGCTTGATTCTTCTTTCTCTGAAAACTGTTGTTTTGTGCCATAGCTGAAGCTGACATGCAGCAACTGAGTCAAGCACTTAAGATACTCTCTGAAACTGAAAAACAATTGAGGATGTCCAAAAGCCAGACAACATGGCTTACTGTAGCTCTTCTGCAATTAAGTTCTGTGGGTGCATCAGTGGAAACTAATGAATCAAGGTTCGGTGTGAAATCAATGCAGTTAAATGGTGAGACTGAGGATTATTAAGTTTATATTTCAGTCTGTTTTCCCCATTCTAGTTGCTTCCCATGTAACTTGTTTAAAGGCTGATATTGGTTTATTTGCAGAAGGGGAATTTTACAGCACCTCCTCAACCAGTGAGAGCTTGAAACATCCTGTGTCTTGTACATGCAACAACAACGCTTGCAAAATAGGGATACCAGGTCAGACACAAACTATGGAATCTGTATGGAGGAGAGCCGTTGCTGTCTGTGAATCCAGTTCGCTAAAACATTTCCTGCAAAAGCATGGAAAGTTGTTGACTGTCAGACTTAGACAAGGTATTTTGCTCTGAACCTGAAGATTGTTTTCTGCGTATTGTGATAAAGAGCAGAAGTCAAACATTTTGATATCAAGCTTGATAAATTGTTATTTTTGTTGTTTGTTTACATTGTTTCTGCAATATCCCCTCTCAAAGCTTGTGGCTTTACTCCATGTTGTTGCTGACCTGATTTGAACTTGCGTAGCCATGGTTTGGCATACTGTGTACTTGTAACAGTCTTTCAAATATTATGTAAAATTTATTTGTTGAATCCATCACGCTAGTTTCTTGTGCTTATGACCTTGATCCACTGGTCTGCTTATGCTTCCCTTTTTTCTTGTAAATTGCTTCTGTGATGATGATGTAAAACATTTTATAAAGCCTGCCCTTATATTCAATTCTACTATATGATGTCATTTTTGAAGACCGTGTACGAGTTTATTCTAATAACTCCAGTTTCATTTGTAACTTAGGTCTGGCTGTAGCAGAACTAGGCTTTTACAATGCAAAGTACGTTGCCAAAGCTGAGAAACAATGGAAAGCTATAGCAGGAGGATTGCAGCATGTTCTTGGTCATAATGTGGAGATAAGAATCAATCTTGTCATTGATGTTAATGCACAAAACACAGCGAAAGTGAAGAAACCTGCTTTTCGCTTGTTCAGCTGTTCTCGGAGATCACATCATAGATCATGTTCAGGCACAGAGTGTGAAAGTGATCCATCCGATAAATCTGATTTCTCTTCTACAAAAGCCTTCACCAGAGATAAATATATTGAAACTGGGTCCTCTGAGAGTGGATCCCATAGTTCGCATGCATGTTGCCTTAACAAGGAGATGGTAAGAACTATAAGAAGCAGCAACGGGAATGCACTTAGTATTGCTTTGACAACACCGAAGCATCAAAATGGGGTTGAACATCTCAAGTATGGAAGCTGTGATTCCCAAGATATATGTGCCTCGGAAAGGGAAAAGCAACCTGGCTGCTTCCCTAGAACTCTTAAGCTTCAGAAATTGAAAGGATCAAATGCTACTGAGATGGCGTTCTGCAGGTCGTGTTTAGAAAAAAACCAGACATCATTGGTTCCCGAAATTCTGCCTCAAACATACTCCCATGCCACTGATCCAGGTGTTCCTTGCTGCGGCGCTGACAATTACTGATTCGGAATCATACGTGAGTTTTCTGAACACAGCTTCTCTTTCTTCTGTTCTTTTTTACAACTCAAATAATTTGAACAGCTATAAGAGAAAAGGTCGGGATTTTTCTTTTGTATTATGCCTTATTCATGGAAAAGAAAAGAAAAAAAAAATTCCTTCAAAAATGTTATTCTTTGTCCAAAAAACTAAAAAATTCAGCTTTCAGTGAATATGTGAGCATTTACTACTGAAAGAAGGTTAGTTATAATAGAATGATCCATCAGGTAAAATGCAATTTTGTGTTTGCAGAGTTGGAAGACATAGCATTGATCATGACCGAGAGACAAGGGCGTTGCGGATGAATATGGCACGCCATAACCTAACAGAGATTCCTATTTCATTGATGACTGACCTCACCAGCTAGCAGCAGATTATAGCTCTTTTATTGCTTAACTAACTTTCGTACAAAATGTGCTTAATGTATCTAGAGTTAAGAAGGTATCTGTACATTGCCTTGAATCCTTTCATCTAACACAATCTGCTAGTTCTTAGCTTTTGACTTGTCCTTAATGTCCTCAAATTGCCATGGCACTTAATGTCTTTTGGCTTTCATTGCGGTTATGTATGGAAGCTGCACTAAAATTAATAGCTTGCCGTTTGGATTTGCTTCTTCTTCCTTTACTTATTTTTTTTTTTCTGGTTTTGTATTTTAGATGATTGCTGTTTTGCTTTTGTTTTGAGACACCATAAAGTTTTCAAATAGGAAGAAGATTCTTTTAAAAAATTTTTTTTTTCCTATTTTTTGTTTCATTAACGAGGCGTCAAAAGTACAACAGTAGTCAAATCCGTGGTGGGCAGACGACAGGCCCAGGGAGTACATTGTGGCATCATTTCCGGAGCTCAGGCAGAGAGAATGGGTTCTGGAAATCAAACACTGTCACCGCGAAGCCAACTTCGCTGCAGATTGCCTTGCAGGTTTGCTGGATCAATCTTATTGGAAAATATTTTCTCAACCTCCGCTGGCAGTGCTACCTTGGTTCCGTAACGAGGTGATCGGGATAACATACGTGCAAAATGTAGTACAATAATCTAATTAGGGCGTTTTGGCCTCCTTTGTTCCCAAAAAAAAGAAAAAAAAAAAGGTACAACACGTACACGGTAACAATGGCAGTGCCAACAATTTCAGTCATGAAGATACCGTCGATATCAGTAGAATCTCTATGTCTTATTCATGAGAGAGTCAAGATGAAGTACCCATTCTCAACTTTTGAAATAACTCTGAAAATGTTCATTTTTCTTGTCGTCATGTGTAAATGCATCTCCAAACACAAAGTTCCAGTAAGAAGAAAGCTTTGGTGGATCACTGCTAAATTCAACCGATTAATCATAAATTATGCGAAAAGGACTCGGCAATGTAGGTAATAATGAAATTTTACTCTCAATTTAATAAAACTGCTTTCAATTTGTCAATTCCTAAAGAACTTTAGTGCAAAAAGATATTTTAAATATTCTATTTATACAATAAAATTGGTGCAAATTATAATACAATAAACTTATTAAGTGAGAAAACTGTTAGAAAATTGGACTCACAAGCCACAAGTTTATTAGGGCGTCTCCAACCGCCCTTTAAATAAAGAGGAGCCGGTTGAAATAGGGAGCTCTCCAAAGGCACCTGTATTTCAAAGGCTCCACTCTGTTAACCCTCTAAAGTGCTCTGGGCTCCTGGATACACTATGTCCTGGAGCACTGTTCACCCACTACTTTGTGGCGGGTGGGGTTCAGTCTCCAATTTTTTTATTACTTTTTTGGAGGTTAAGTTTGGGCTTAGGTTAAATAGTTTTGGGCCTTTGTTTTTTATTTGGTTTGATTGTGTTTAGATCAACTCGTCGCAATTGCAAATTTGGCTAAGAATTGGACGGAAATGATAAGAGGGGTTAGGGTTCTTCCCGGAATTGGAAACGTTGCGAGGACGGAAGAGAAACAGAATTTCTAGAAATACAATTCCAATATCAATCTTTTCGTAATTGTTTTTACAACCAGCAAACCTAGTCCCATCAATTTACAATTCCAATATATGCTTAATTTCTCTGTTGGATACTTCAGCCTGACCATTTGTTTGAGGGTGATATGCGGTGGACACTCTATGATGAATACCAAACTTCTGTACTAGCGCTGAGAAGTGTTTATTACAGAAATGCGATCCTTCGTCACTGGCAATGACTCTAGGAGTTCGATCCAAATCTAGCGAAGATATTCTTTTTTAAGAACTTGATCACTGTTTTGGAATCGCTAGATTTGACTGCTGCTGCTTCTACCCATTTGGACACATAGTCTACTGCCAGAATGATACATGTGTTGTTACTCGAGGGGACAAATGGACCCAGGAAGTTGATTCCCCAGATATCGAACAATTCCACTTCTAACATCATTTGCTGAGGCAGTTCATTTCTCCAGGACAAATTTCCTGCTCTCTGGCATTTATCACAACACTTAACAAACTTGTTAGTATCAGCAGACAGTGTAAGCCAGAAAAAACCTGATTGTAGGATCTTAGCAGCGGTCCTCTGCCCACTGAAGTGACCTCCTTAGGGGGATAAATGACATTTTTCTATTATTGCTCCAGTCTCCTCTGTTGGTATGTATCTCCTAATCAACTGATCCGCACAAAGTTTAAACAAATAGGGTTCTTCCCAGTAATAGGATTTAAGCCTCATGAAGGAACCTTTTTGTTTGCTGCTTGTTTAAATCTGCAAGATCAATGTTGACAAGAATGTAGTCAGCATAATCAGCGTACCAGGGCCTGTTGCCTGTTACTTGGGCAAGCTTCACCTCTACTCCCCAGAGTTGCTCGTCTGGGAACTTCTCTTGGATCACCTCTGAGTCTTCTTGCATCCCTTTCATTCTTGATAGATGGTCTATCACCTGGTTCAGAGTCCCTTTCCTGTCCTTGATTTCTAAATCGAACTCTTGCAGGAGCAATATCCATCGAATTAGCCTTGGTTTTGAATCCTTCTTGGTGACCAAGTATTGCAACGTGATCAGTGTATATTACCACTTTCATTCCAAGCATGTATGACCTGAACTTATCAAAAGCAAAGACAATAGCTAACATTTCTTTCGCGGTGGTAGACTAATTTACCTGGGCTGGATTTAATGTTTTGCTGGCATAGTATACCACATGAAGGACCTTATCTCTTCTCTGTCCTAGCATTACCCCAACTGGAAAGTCACTGGCATCGCACATGAGTTCAAATGGCTGAGACCAGTCAGGGGTTATGATCACTGGAGCAGAGATGAGTTTTTCCTTGTTGTAAAAGCCTTCATACAATCCTCATCAAAGATGAATGCTGCATCCTTTTCTAACAAGTTACAAAGTGGTTTAGAGAAATTCTGAATAAACCTTCTGTAGAATCCTGCATGGCCGAGAAAACTTTGGATTCCTCTTACTGATCCAAGAGGATCCATTTTCTCATTGACTTCTACTTTGGCTTTGTCAAACCTCAATTCCATTGGCAGAAATTTTATAGCCAAGGACTATTTCTCTGGTTACCATGAAATGACATTTTTCCCAGTTTAGAATCAGATTAGTGTCAATGCACCTTTTCATAACTTTCCCTAGATTATGGAGACAGTTATCAAAAGAATTACCAAAAACTGAGAAATCATCCATAAATACATCTATGATTTCCTCCACCATATCCAAAAAGAGTGAGATCATGCAGCACTGGAAGGTTGCAGAAGCATTACATAGGCCGAGTGGCATCCTTCTGAATGCAAAGGTGCCATAAGGACATGTAAACATTGTTTTCACATGGTCTTCTGGTCCAATAGGAATTTGGTTATACCCTGAAAATCCATCAAGAAAACAATAATACTGATTAGGCCTCTTCATTCGGGTCAAAATAACGGGTTTCGAATCAAGAGATTCGGTTATTCGGGTCCTCGAGTGGAAAACAGGTCAACCCGAATCAAAGCATACTGTTATCTAACTAACAACCTGAATAACTTGTTCGGCTATTCGGGTTTCCGGTCGGGTAATCGGGTAAACCCGATGTAAGTTTCAGCAAAATTTTTTTTTTTTCAAACTCATTGCAGCATTTTTTTTTTCTTTTGGCCCATAATTTTAAATATCTTTATACTCATCATCCAAGTACACTAATAGGAACATAAAAATCCAATTCCAAGAAATATTACAATCTCCAAAATAAACACATAAAAATCCAATTACAAGAAATATTACAATCTCCACAAGAAATATTACAGTAGAAACCCAAATTTGCCAAGAATGGCACTGTTCCTGAAAGCATTGTGGCCTTTGTTGTAGCCTACTTCGACCAACTACCTCCCTCAAGCACCAAGCTCTGCCAAGAATGACACTGTTCCTGAAAGCAAACAAATGCTATCATCAAAGTTTACCCCTCTTTGAATAATTACAAAAAGTATACCTACACTATTTGCCTAAAGCTGCATCACAAAACAGTCATTCCTAATCCTTTGGAAGCAATATAGATCAATCAATCTCTGTAACACGCCGTGCAAAAAGACAAATTATAGCAACCAAATAAAGGAAAGAAACACTTCCCAAAGAGGAAACCTGACATTAATGAAGGCATCTTTGAGAACACACACTACCACTCATTTTAACTTCCGAGATGTACAGATTAAACATTCTACAAATTCTAATGAGTTGGGTTCCATATGCCACAATAGAACCCAACGTCGTTAAGGCTACCAACAACTGAAAACAAAGCCATTTGTTGATATGAAGTCAATTTGGACAGTTTAAACAAACAAAATAGGTTCAAAGTTTAGACAGTTTATGAATATCTCTAGTTTCATGAAATATGCAGCTACACAACATGTTATCACTATACAGCTACAAAAACCAAGATGAAAGATCCCTTTGTTTCAGAATTGAATTCATAAAAACTTAGATAATATTTTTATAGATTGATGCCATGTTAAAAGTTAGTTCTCTGTCTAGTGTGATTACCACCCATTTCCATTTTTTCCCTCCAACCAAAGTCCTCTAAACTCGGTTAGAAATTAATCTAATTGTATCCCTAGGAATTAGATTATTGACTGTGTTCCAAAAGAGAACTTAGTCAAGCAGACTATTGACTGTGTTCAGTAATTTTTAGTCAGTTAAAGTCTTACCTTTTGGGACTCATTGATGCACCGAATACTCGTAACCCTGCACCCGCAACCCTGTAAAAAAAAAATCATCCAGATAAACAAGAAAAACATCAGAATCCAAAATGTGGGTTATATCCCCAAATTCAGCTTCAGCAATCAACTTACTGATGATAAACAGTATATCTGTGTATCTGGAAATTCACTTTACTGCAGAAAGAAAACTACCTAAGTCATCAAACAATCATTCTAAAATCTCTGCACCTGAAATGTCTATATCTTCTTCCTCCATATCTTGTGCTTCTATATCAGTGAATTCTGCATTATAGAAACAAAATAAAGACAAGTAAAGTTAGCAACATTCTAGACAATGATAATAGAAGTTAAATTATTCAACACAAAGCAGTTAAAACACAAAAATACAACCTTCTTCACTTTCTTCAAGTACTTCAAGGGTTCCTTCAGTATTTACGGGTGATTGATCCCCACGAAGCCAATCTTGCGTGCAAATCAAGGCTTCAACC